TTTGGTTTTTCATGTTTTACTTTAAAAATACTTGAAGACTGAACTGGGGGGTTTGAGATTAATCACAGTTAAACTCAATTTTATTGCTAAAAAAAAAAAAATCAAAACCCAACCCAAATCCAAATTTCAAGCAGAACTTGTGTAGCAAGTGCTTGACAAGTGCATTGCTGTCTGAGCTGGAGTTTCAGCAGAGGTGTTTTATAGGAGGACAAGTGAAATAACCGCAGCAAGGTTCATCAGAGTTCTTCTACTATAGACCTCTGAATTACCCAAGGACTCCTTGTGACTACACAAGCCAAACCCAACACCTTAAACCTGACCCTTAAGTCAATTGGTAGTTAGTTTATGTCAGGAAGCACAGAAGTAATAGTCCGTAGTTGAGAAATAACCACTTGTGCATAAACTGCAGTTGTTTTTATTTTGCAGCTGTGATATAGCCAACTTGAAAATAACAGTGTGAACAAAAGTAGTGAGGTCCATCTGGAGTTTAAAGAAAAGTTCACAGTAAGTGATAAAAGGAATGCACTGCACACTTGCTGTGACTGAGAAATATTTGCTATGCTAATGGCAAGAGAAGCAGTTATTTTTAAGTTAATCAGATTCAGCTTTTCTTTTAATACCATTTGGTGTACAGAGCAGGTTACCTAAAGGTGCAATTCTAAATCTCAGTAGAGAGGTTCTCATGGAGAGCAGGTGACCTTATGGAAATTACAACATGTAATTCATCATACTTAATGTGGGTTTGGACTAGTTGACTGGAGAGGTCTCACTCGTATGCAATTTGATAACAGGTTCCCATTGTCAGTAATAATTTATTCAAAAAAGGGAAGTTATAATATGCTTATTAGCTCTCATCCACATATAAAGCAGATAATTTTTTTAATCAAATGTCTAACATGTAATTTACAAGGATCTTGAAAATGCATTTTAAAAGCGCATGCAGTTTCTAATTATTTGTGATAATGTATTGAACTAAGATTTTTGTAATTTGTAATGTACTTGTAGTACATCAACATCTGTTCTAGAATTAAATGTCTCTTGTTCAATGTTCTTTATCTTATTTTTGATTTCCTTTAACTCGAACCTCAAAATTGAGGAGCTTTAACTACATTATAGACAGTTGAGTTTTAAGGCAGTTGAGGTGATAACAACTGGTTAGACTTTTATTTAAACAAACTTCTCCTGTGCTGTAATGCTGCTCTGCTTGTGTTTGTATTATTAGAAAGACATAGGTCTTGGTCTTAATTTATTGTATCTGTGAGATTCTCATGTAGTCTTTAATCACATGGTTTCATGTTACTTTTCCATTCTACGTTCTGTATGGAATACATCATGAGGAGTGAAGGAGTGTTTACTTCATATTACACTTTGTCTCTCCTTCAGTAGAAGGTTCCATGTTTTCTCTATTGTATTAGGTCCCACTCGGAAAACAAAGTGATTCCTCCCCTGGCCCTAGCCATGGAATTTTTTTGTTGTGCTGAAGTAATTTTCACAGCTCCAGGAAATAGGGAGGTGATATTTTTCCCAGTTTAAAGATGAGGAACTGAGGCAAGGGAAAGATATAGACAGAACCTGATGACTTTAGGAATTCAGCATGAAACATTTGGGTTCTGATTTTTCAGAATATTTAGCATTTTCTGTCCTGAAAACAAAGGATTGACTTCAAATTCACTGTAAATGCAAGTGGGGCAGTAGAGATCGGATGGGTCTGTGGGATGTTCTTGAAGCTGTATCACTCCACAGCTGTTAGTGCCTGTTTTAGTTTTTTACTTACTGTTGAGCTGTTGCAGGGCTGGGGATAACTAGCAGAAAATAAGGGGGGAGAGAAGCCTCCACTATGAATAATGTGGATTTTATTCTGTTCTAAAAGTAAAAAAAAAAACCTGATGATATTTTGAAAAATGTTTTACTACTGACTTCCTGTCTTCCAATTTTAAAAAGTATTTATCTAGCACCTCATAGAACCTCTGCAATACAGATGGGAGGGTGATCCAGTATAATGCCTGAAACCTATTTGTTTACCTGAATTTGTGAGCTAATTCTTTCTTCTACTGTTTTTTTAACTGTCTCATGCCTCATGCACTGTGCACATTATAGATGATGCGATAAATAAAGCAGGAACAGGTCAGACTGTGCTATCCTTCCTTGTGTAATCCTGATTGATCCATTCATCCTTGATTTGAATGAGGCATAGATCTATTTTTTTTTTTTAGAGAAAATATGACACATAGTATTATCATACTCCAAGGTGTATTCACAGAGAGGCCAAGCTGAAGATTACAGGCAACCTTCTCTGTCACTTTCTAAATTTAATGCTAGATTATTTTTAACCTTAATGCTCTTTTAACTTCGAGGCTTCTTCTATGCATGTAATAGCTTTCATTTTCTGAAAAAGTAAACTGCAGTTGAATTTGGGTATCTTGGTTTTGTGTGTGTGACTCAGTATAACTCTCTTGTAGATGAGTCTTAAAACTATTTAACAGCTCTGTCAAGGACTTGTGCTTTACACTGCCCCCATGTTCCCTGGGCAGAACTGCAGGGATTCTCTCTGCTTTCTCTTACATTTACACCAGTGGCACTTAGCCTGGCACGCTGTTAGGATGCTTAATGTGCTTGTCCTGTTTTCAAGTGTGCAGATAATCAAATGTGGGTAGGCAAACAAAACTAATGAAGTGTTTGATTTTCAGATGTTTAGCAATAAGCTTCAGAATCATATTTCCTGAACCTATTGCAGTTTGTGTTCGCTGTTCTGCAGTGAATCCTGAGTTTTTGTTCATTCTCTTCTAGAGTTCATGTAAAATTCTTGCATGCACTGGTCCTTTAGGGGGAATTCAACGCATCTGCTAACTGTTGCATGGAAAAATATTTTTTTATTTTATTATTTTAAACCAGATTCCAACTAGATTTGCCATGTAAATCCCTATTCCCTGAATTCAGGCTTATCACAAGTTATTTCTATGTTTTCTCTTCCTGCCCAATATTTTTTTTTATTTTCACATTTCCCCAATCCCTTTGCAGCTTGTCATGTGACATATCTCTTCCAACCTCTTGCATTCCCACCATTTTGCTCAGTGGTTGCATCACAGTTTGAATTTATGTGTCCAGTAAGTTCTGAATTCTCCTGAATCTCTCTCCATGCTCCCCAAGGCTTATTTTGGTGTAATGAGCGACCTTAAGTCTGACTCGTGATCCCTCTGCATCAGATGCAGGCACTTTCTTCTGCTGTGTTGAACAGGACATGGGCTTCATTCTCTCTAGTATATGGATCTAATTCTTGTGTGAATATTCACCTTATGTAGGGAAATAGGTGGCAAGAGCTCTTGCTGGTTTAGTTGAGTATGTGTGAAATCTCTTTGATGCTATAATCAATGGGACTGGGACCTCCTTGGAAGGACAGAAAAAATCCTTTGTTCTCCATGGCCAAGGGGTTTGACTCAGGAGAACTCAGTGTTGGCAGCCAAGTTGTCAGCCTTACGTTAGATTGAGAGACTGCAAGTTAAGAAAAGGAAGTAGTGACTTTGCAGTGCAGGCAGCTCTGCATGGTCCCTTCTAGTACCCAGGAGGCCTTTGGTCCTTCTCTGAGGCCTGGCTCACTATGTGGCCTGAAATATGACAAATCCTTACGTCCAGGCATTAAGAACACAACGTGAAGTGGGAGCTTTCTTTAATAAAGCCTTACTTTGCGCTCTCTCACCCAGGTGTCAATTTTTTTTTCCCTAGAATCAACTGTCCTACATGGTAGTCTGATGGAATCCTGAAGTTTTTGTTTAATTTAAAGAAATTCTGAAATTCTCTTTTATTTCCCCCAAGTAACTCCAGACGTGCATATTCTAGCTGTCATTTTTGTGGATGCTGAAATATTGTGGATGGATTTTCATGGGTGGCAAAATGTGTATGCCTGGCACAAAGGTATTCCAAATTTTATATTTTTGCTCCCAAAGCATGGAGCTGTAAAAAATTTCTGCAAAACAAGTTTTCCAGAATTTTGTTATCCATGAGCTAAGCCATTTTGGCTGTTAGCAGAGAGAAATTAGGGGAAAAAAAATGATCTGAGGCAGATAGTTGGCTTGGAAAATTGCATTCAGAAGCTCTGAAATTTCACAAGATTGTAAGAACAGAAAGCAGCAATCTCTTACAGCAAAGATCCATAGTCTGCAGTGCCAAAAGCAGCATACAAGTCAATTTAAATAATATGCATTTTTCATATAATGTGATGTAAGGTCTGAGGCGCAGCCTTTTGAGGGAAGCATGTGTGAGATGTACTTGTTCCCAGATCGTGGCTTTTTCGTAGTTCAGCACTGATACATGGCAAGTGGTGGCAGTGGTCAGTGGTGTCTGCTCCAAGTTTCCACAATCATGTACAGCTTCTAATTTGAGACACAAAAGTGGGCTGGTGTTCCACTTGTTACAGATTGCCCCCAAGAAGGGAAGTGTCAGGCAGTTCTGATAATGGGTTTGCTCCTGTCTTTGCATATTGCTCCTTTTTGTGTTCTAAATCTGCAGCCAAGTTTTTAACTTAGTTCTGTGTTTAATATCTTCAGCAAATCTAAAGTAGATTCTGAGACTGCTTTTAGATGGGATCTGTTGTTCATGTAAAAATCTGTATTAAAAGTAGTGGGTATAATGAAAATACAGTCCAGTTTTTGTAATATAATGACATTTACCAAGTAAGGGAAATAAAACTGGTTTAATTTACAATGTATTGACTGTTGTCACTATATTAAATGTTATACTGGTATTTCTGAAAAGTTGCTATCTCAGTAATTTAATCATCTTAACAACCTAAGCCCATGCAGGGGTACAAAGTTCAGTATTGCCTGTCTTTAAAAGAGCAAGTTCTGTTTTGAAGCTATTTAAAATGCTATTCTAACAACAGCAGTTAGAAAGAGGAATGCTAAAATTAATAATTTAGGCATGCTAATTGATTGTATTATGCAGGTAGGTTGTGAATTCGTAATTATATAGTTTTTAATAAACTGTCTACTATTGGTTTTGTGTAGATCATCCTTTGCAGGCTGGAAGTGCCAAGTGCAGGAAAATTCAATGAATGATGTGGACTATTTCAGCTTCTTGTTTTCAACCCTTATAGGTAATCCATATGAATGTAATAATTCAGAATTAACAAAATAGAATTTGTTTTGGTAGTAAATTACTGAATTTAATTCAGAATAAATGGTGTTGTAAGTACTTCCTGAAAGTAATTCTAATTTTGTTACATATTTTTGATATGAGATACCCTTTTTTCTCTTGATCTGACTTTTGATACCCTATACTTACACTTTTCCATTTGGGCTGAATATTTGCATACTTTTTCTTCATTCTAGCAACTTTCTTTGGAAAGTAAGAGAAAAACCTAAATTCAGCATATGACATGAACAGATTTTTTTTCCTAGCTTGAAGTAGATGCCTTTTATTGGCTCATAACAATATAAATCAGTGCCTTTGGGATTTCCTGTGAACATGCTTACGCTATTAAAAACATTCCATCAGAATAAAGGAATCAAAGTATGTTGAAGTGAGCTGCCCAAGGTCAGCATGTGAGCAGAATTACTTCTGCTACTCTATTCTTACTCAGCTATAAAAATAGTTGTATTATGTGGTGATGCAATTTAGGGAAATTACAGTGGTTAAAATGGCGTAATATTACTAAGAAATAATTTCCAGTAACTTGTGCTCTGGTAAAAAAATAAAGTGGCTTTTCTTCATCACCTCTGTTATTTATAATGTTCAACTACTTTGTTTTCAAAAATTACCATTTTGTTCCTAAAACAGTGAAAAAAGTGCTGTCCTGATAACAGAGAAAATGGAAGCAAAACCAGAGCGACTGTTGTGGAGCAGTTTTACTGTTTTACTAAAACATCTAATACATGGCTAGAAATAATAAGCCAAATGATTTTTTTTTTTAACCCTGAGGTTACGTTAGGTTACTAAGTTATTGTAAACACGTGTCAAGTATTTTGTATTATACCTGTTTTTATTATTTTTAAAGATACATATATTGAAAATAGCATAACTTTGGCCTCTTAAAGTTGTTTTTTTTTAATACCACATTATAGTTTAAATGGGTATGCCACTGATTTTTCAAATATTTTTGTTTTCTTTCAGAAGTCAAAATTGTACTTCTATAAACTTAATTTAAAATACCAAGCAAGAGCCTTCAATAAAAAATCGTTATGCTGAGATAATTTAAAAGACAGTGTTTGTCAATGATGCTGTTGAAGTAGAACACTGCTTGGCTTGTTTTGTGATACTGTTGTACTGCTTCTTTTTCCCTAGGGTTTTCAAGAGAGGAGTTGGCTAGTCTCCAGGGCATTAGAGGAAAACCACACATTAGCCAGACACAGCTTTCACCTATCCGTCTTTACCTAACTGATCTGGACCAGTTTTTACACCACTGGGCTGTGACAGAGGTAATACATCAACACTAATTCTAAATGACAGCATACAAACTCCGAGTGCTCTCCATCCCTTTTCCACAGATGCCTAAATCTTGTTGAGATTTGAGTTGAAAAAAGAATGAAAAACATAATAGCTGTAAAACAGCCAACATTTTTCTACAACCATCAGATAATATATTATCTGCTGCTTTAGAAGTTAAATGTTCCGACATGTAGTATGCAAAGCAATACTCATGGAAAAAATTGGTAGAAGCCTTGGTGGAAATTCTTAAACACTGATAAGATTAGGACCAGCAATATGTTTCAGCTTTCAAAAGCAAATTAATCGTAAAAATACTAATACAAAGAGTTTTCTTGGAAGATAAATGCCACTGTTAATTAAAAAGCACTTGTATTAAATAAGGTTTCAACTTGGAGTAATATTAAGTTGGCATTGGTGATTATTTAGAATAACTTCTGATGCTTAGTTAATCAAAATTTACTGGAATTAGAAACTTCACTGTGAATTCTGCACCCATGTCTAAGAGTATAAGAGCTGAAAGCTTAGTTTTATTGTTAGTTCTAAAGTGATTTGAGCCGCCAGATTTTATTCAAAACAGGTGCATTAGTCATCTTTCTGGCTCAAGTCTTTTTATTGTTTAGCTCAACAGAAACCACTTTAAGGTGTGAAATCATGTTTTTAATGACATTCCAGTTTGACAGTATTTGTGAAATCGTAGCCATGAATTCAGAAAGAAGAGTGAAACAGAAGGTTTTAGTTGTATGGTTTTTCGTGGCAGTCTTTTTGGTTCAAGAAAGTGGAACAGTAGATGTTTTCTAATTCATAATGTTTAAGTGATAATGTACTGAAACTTATGATAGCCTGAAACACACACTGAATGTGTGCTGCTGTGTATTGAAAAGTATTTTAAGCAAGGTCATTGTTTGGTACCATGACTGACACACATTTTTTGATGTCCTACCTTTAGTCATTTGGCCTGTGGAGCAGCTAAACTTTGTAATTTGTTTTGCTTTGTCCCTTCTGGACAGTAATGAAGTGTTTTCTCACTAAAAATACCTTTCATCAGTATTGAAAGACCAGAATGCTCTCTCCCTGTCCTGTTCCTCTGTGAATGTACCAGTGATTACTTGTTTCTCAAAGAGTTAGCATAATCCCATACAGCATCTGAACGATTTATATATATACACCATACCTGCTTCTGAAAATGTCACCTCTTGTGTCTTCTCCTTCCTCTTTTTGCTTCTGTCCCACAAATCTGTCAAAGTTAGTTGTGAAACTATGCAATAGGACTATTTTCACATAGGGAAGAGTGAAGTAGTTTGATTCCTTTTTTGTGCCTTGGGGTTCCTGGTTGCAAGTTGAGGTTATTTCTTCTACCACTTTCTTTTTGGTGTTTTGGTGCCAACGAGGAGAGTTGGTATTTTCAGAAACTTGAGACTTGCTTTTGTTAAAGTAGCTTTTCTTAGGAAAGATCCAAGGTGCTCTCTCAGGTTCTCAGAAGTGGATGGCAATCATTAAGCAAAGAGCCAGATATTCTTGCTTAGTAATGAAAGATGATTTGGACATCCTATGGAGCATTGCACTGCTTTTGCAGTTATGAGTCAACCTGAACTCTTTCTGGAGACTAATTTATGAGAGAATAGGAACAAAAATCCCATGCATCAAAAATCTGTGTGGAGAAGTGTGAAACCTTCTAGACGCACCTGATTTTGTAGGCTCTTGATCAAACAGAGTTCTGAACTGTTGCTTTGTCCCAGTGGGAGTGGTCAAACACTGGAATAAGTAGCCTAGAGACATTGTGGTTCCCATCTAGGGACATATTCAGAAGTAGGCTAGACATGTTGTGACCTGCTCTAGCTGACTCTGCTTGAGCAGAAGCATCGGATTAGAGGAACTCGAGGGTTTTCTTTCCAACTTCAGTGATTCTGTGATTGTTTGAAAACTCTTCCCCTTGGAAAAACCCATAACTTTTGTTTCACCATCAACAAATCCCTTTGTTAATTTTGCTTTTGAGATTATTTTTGATTTTGTGTAATGAGATTCACTGTATGGGGAGGGGGTTTGTTACAGTTATATTTGATCTGAAAGTCCAACTGTTCCTGTTAAATGCTTGCCAGGTATTGCAATGCTGTTTGGGGTGTTCCCCCCAGATTTGCTATTTTTTCCCCACAGAATTTGTGAACAAAAAAGTAGGGGCACCTCTTCAGTAGCTTGCTTTCTTACTGGAGAAACATTAAGATATTCTTTCGTCTTGCCTCTTATCTGGTAATAATGGTCTCTGGCATATCTGTTTGTGTTACAGTGAAAAGTGATAATCAGTATTAAGACAACCATTTCCTTTTATGAATCACAGAATTCCATTCACTTTTCTCTTGTCTGCTTTTGATTTCAGATGCAGTTGTAGATATGGTAAATGATATATAAACAAAACTGTGCTGAAATTACCATTTCAGTTCTTAGATTACTGGTTTCTCTGTGTTCAAATATCTAATACAGCACTGTATTGATTAAGTTTTAAGGGTTTTCATTTTTTCCTTGTTTCAACCAACCTCCAACATGTTGACCAATACTGTATTTAATGCTCAGTTTGTGAAGACAATACTCTGGGGACTGTAGTCCATAAAAACTTTGAGATTTGGAGGCTGGACAATTTTTAAAACCAAGGAGGGGAAGGAAAAGAAAAAAAAAAAAAAGAAAAATCCAGACTTGGAGAAAACCTTTCAGTTCAAGATTTGCCACAAGCTGCACAGGAATACTTTTTGTAGAGCAAGTAGTTTCCACTAGGTTCTGAACAAGCTACTCTGCTCTCAAAAGAAAATAAACTAAACAGCAACAACAACAACAAACCTCAGTCAAAAAACCAAACCTCAGATCTGCAGCCTCTGGGGTAAAGAAAACTGCCAGCGAATCACAAGGCTCTTCTAGGGTGTCTTGAAAGACAGTTTGATGTGATGGTTCTCTGTTCATCAGGTTTGAGGGAGGTAGGTTTGGAGACTGCTTTCTTCCAAGTTGTCATAGTTCAAGGTGTGATGCAGTTTTGGAATCAAAATACTTTTAGCTGTGACAGAAAATTACTTTATTTAGATAAAGAAGTGCTACAGGAAATAACAAACCCCAGCTTGAATTAATCACGCTTTTGATGGAACTGGGTAGAGTGCACAGCTTCTGAATGCTGAATTTTTAATGTGTTCCCTTGCTGGATAAGGAAGTTTATGGTGATTCTGTAATGTTAAGCAAAATGTTTGTAGTGATTTAAAATACCTAGTAAGTGAGAACTCTGCTCGTTGTCTGCAGAGCAGGCACCATTCAGGCCGCTACTCTATGGTGGGAGTTGTTCATTTAAGAGTTTTCATCGTGTAGTTGTAATTCAGAGTTTCCTCGTAATGGAAAAGTATTTTATTGTGGATGAAAATAAATAAGGAACTCTGATGGAATTAGGACTTGATAGCTTGGTTTCCTATGAATAAATATGACTAGTGATCAGATTCCTATTAGCCCTTCCATCATCATCTTTCTTCCACCTCTTGTTTTGTCTAAAACACTGGCTAGTTTTTGGCTTGCTGCTAAAAAGAATAAAGTTGCAAATACTAATTGCCCAGAATGTTTATAAAAATAAGCAGGTGGATGAGAAAAAAGCCTCTAGATTAGCACAAGGTAGTTTAAAACTGTTTCAGCATCCTGCTTGGCAGCAGCCAGCTCTACCAGCCTGCGTGAGCATTGCTCCAGACCAAGTTCAGCAGGAGCTGTTGCTTGGCCCATGGGGGCATCAGGGGCTTGTGAGGCAGGAGCAGATGGGGTTATGGTACTGAAGAAGGGTCCCAGGTGTGAGGATTGTAGGAGGCCACGGCTTGTTGGCTTTATTGCTCACTGCTCAACTCTGTTTCCAAACCCAGAGGAAGGCAGTCACAGCTTTCTGTCTCTAGCTGTGCAGGGAGTGGTCTGTGTTTCTAAGGGTAAAGAACTGTAAGAGAGAATTTAATGTATAACAGGCGCAGGCCAGAGATGCGGGAGAAGAAAAGGTGTGTCTCTGGAGAAAAGAGCAAGTTCTGTAAAGAAAAAGAATTAACTTGAGGCATTTTCAAACAGCAGTTTGGACTTCTGGAGTGTTATTATAGCCAGTGCACTTTGTAGCATGAGGATAACAGTAGTTGGTAAAAGAGCCAAACAAATGCACTTCTGATAGGAACTAATGCTTTTAAGTGGTTTATAACAAAATTTGTTTTGAGATGGATACTGTTTGTAACTTTTTTTTTTGTCTCAAGAGTGGTAATTGGTATAGAGGAAATCTGAAGTAACATTACTTTTTGTGGAAGCTTTTAAATAGTGGACATTTTCACTTAAGGAGCAGTGCTTAAGAGAAGTGTCTCTTTAAATGCTGTTTTGCATAGCTATAAAGGTTAGTCTTCATGATTTGTCTAAAAGTTGTGTTAAATGTGGGCATCTCAGTTCCTTTTCTGGAGCAACTTCTTCTTAAAATTACTTCTGTCTTGTTAAAGCCAATTATTTAAACGCATACCACCGTAGCTAAAATAAATGGGACTCCAGAATAAATGGTTGCAGCCTGAGGGAAGAGACTTTCAGTCGTGGCTCATTTTAACTGTGCCCATAGTGTTTGTCGGTAATATTGTTCACTCCCCTGTAATTGAATTGCTCTGCCAGTATCAAATGAAACAGTGCCCACAGAAATGAAGAGTTTAACAAGGTAACCGTGTATACATGGTAATTTCTGTTGTAATATTTGATGTTTGTGGTGGCTGAACATTTCTGACGGAGAAGGCAAATGATAATTTGAAGATTTGCTTGAAGTCAAGATTCTAGAGCTGTATCGAGCACATACCTGACCTGAAGAAATAAAATATTCATCCAAATGTTCAAAATGTTTAAGAGCAAACACTAGGGAAGGTCAGCTGCTTTTAAAAGCAATCTTGAATTCAAAAACCTTGGGATGCATGTAATGAAATATACTAATCTGTGTCAAAAATGGATAAACCTTGTGAAATACAGTTGGGAA